AAAGAAAAAACGGGCTTAAAATATAAGCTATATGTCCTTGTGGTCCCACTGAATCACTTGCTTTTCACTTGATCAGACTTTTAACTCTTGAATAATGGAGCCTATTATAGTCATCCCCAACCTTAAATTACCTTTAAATAGAAGATGATTGGGTGTTACTGAAACCACATTAAAAATGACCAGTTATCCTATCTGAACCAGGATAGGGTATGTCTTCTTTTCTTAGCCAAGATGTGGCTACACTGCTGTGACTGGTTAACTCAGGTAATTAGAGCATGATGTGAAGAAAATCAGGAGGCCAGGTGTCATTGCACGTGCCCAGATGATTTAGCTGGTTCTGTAATCACGAGCTGGATTCATACCAGACTAGCACCTCACAAATATGGATCATGGCTCATGAGGCAGACCTGGTTCAATAAATAGGAGGAGCTTAGTGCAGCTTTTCCCCTTTTCTGGCAAATGCGGCCAAGTGCCTCCTGGGTGGTGAAGGTTGACCCTTGAAATGGGAAGGACAGCACAGGAATTAGGCAAGGCCCCTGCAGAGACAGTCTTGTAATATAGAAGATTTCTCTTTGCTGTGATTAGTTATTTTAATCATTTTAGAGGCTGTAACAAACTTGATGCAGATGACACAGATGCTACTTGTATTGACCAAAGCAAAGGATTTCTTTTTGTATACAAACTTACAGATTGCTTTTTCATTTATTTTTATTTTTATTTTTTATTTTTATTATTACTTTTTTAAAGATGGGGTTTCACCGTGATGGCCAAGCTGGTCTTGAACTCCTGACCTCAGGTGATCCACCCACCTCGGCCTTCCAAAGTGCTAGGATTACAGGCGTGAGCCACCGTGCCCGGCCTTTGCTTTTTCATTTTTTCTCTGTGTCTCATGGAAACACAAAGCACGCATGCAGGGCTACAGAGCCCCTCAGGGCACTTTCTTCTGTATCTTTATTGGCTCCATCATTTTCCTTCCCTGTGACTTAACCACTGTTGAGTCTTAGTTTATTTATCCGTGGAATGGGGAAAATAACTGTACTGAAATCATGAGCTTGCAGGGAGAATCAAATGCAAATAAAAAAATACATTGTATCTTAGTCTGCTGTTCAGACCACCAGAACAAAATGCCATAAACCAAGTAGCTTATAAACAACAGGTATGTATTTCTCATAGTTCTGGAGGCTGGAAATCCAAGTTCAAGGCATATTTGGTGTCCCGGTGAGGGCCTGCTTCCCCATTCATGTACCTTCTCTCTACATCCTTGCATGGTGGAAGGGACAAGGTAGCTTTCTGGGGCCTCTTGGATAAAGTCAATAATCCCATTCATGAGAGCTATGCCCTCATGATCTAATCACCTCTAAATACCACCACCTCCAAATATCATTATACTGGTAATTAGGTTTCAACATATGATTTTGGGAAGGACACAAACATTCAGACCATAGCAATATGTATGTAATGTCCAAACTTGGTGCCAGGAACATAGCAGGTGCTCAGTAAATCAGTATATAGTAGCTCTAAGATAAATGAGGGAATGGAATAGGGAGTTGGGAAAGTTTCTTCTCATATGCTTCCTTGCTTTTTCCAGTTTAGGGAAAGTGTCATTAAATAGCATACATGTTGAAACTGAGAACTACTCCAAAAGGTTTTATTTGTAATGCTAGAAATATTAACTTCTTGCAGTTTATACTGGCAGATCTCCAGTAATTCACAATTAACACCTGCTGTTTAGTGCTTTGCAAATAGGTTTTGCTGTCATTGTGGATATCTAGAATAAACAGCTATGAGGAAACATTTAAAATTTAAATGTCTGATTTCTCTACTGATGTAGGAATGCAACTTAGGTTGGCTATACATAAATACTTAAAAATCTTTAATAAAGTTAATTCCTCTCTGTCCTATTGCTTAGAGTAAATGTTTCTATTGCTAGATTTGAATCTTGCATCATCTGATTGCAGGAATGATACCTTGACATCATCTAGCAGTAATGTAAGAAGTAGTACTTTTTTCTTGTCTGAGTCACAGTAGTGGTAAGATGAATGGAGAGAGGGAATCCTGCTGTTCATCTGACCTTTACGGATTCAACTGGAACTAACTGGCTTTTTTGTGCACCAAAATAGGTATAAAGAAAGTTCAGCTAATCTGGGGGGACTCATTCACAAACCAGAGACACTGAACAGGCTAGTGAGGCTTGCATGGAGTACTAGAAGATGACTGTCATCATGACTTTGCCATGATTTGACTTTGACTTTGAAAAATTTCACTGAAAATGACTTTGGAAAATTACATATAGCATAAATGTGCAAATTTACATTTCCTTTTTAACAGGTTCCAGTGCTTTGCAGACAGAAAGGAGAGTTGGTCCTCTATTTTGGATGTATAAAATGAGTGAGATTAGTCCTAGTAAAGTGGACTGTAATCTACCTTTCCTTGCTCTTGTCACATCCTCTCTACATTTCGGAATTCTCCTTTGCTTTCTTCTATTTGGAGACTAGAGCCCTTAGTCTTTCTCCACATCATCATCTCTAAACTTGGTTTCACACTTCTCATTTTCACTAAGTATAAATGGTTGATAGTGGCTGAAAATGTTGTGATCCCTCCAGATAATATTTCCATTTTCATAAGGGAGCTATCTGAAGTGCATGGAAGAAAGATCTTGGGTGGAATTTTCAATATTGTTCAATTTGGAGCTTAGAAGGGTATAGCGTGGTGGAGGGTGTTTATGGTTGTATCTGATTCTCCAGCTGCTCTGAAATAATAATGCTTAGGCGTTGTCTTCTCTAGCAGTTCCCAGAGGCTTCTTCCAACTCCTTCCTGCGTAGTTTCTAGTGCCTTAGAATAGGCTTTCAGTAAGAAGAATAGTATCCTTGGCTAAACTTGACTATATTGGGGTTTTCTCAAAAGAGAACCAGGCACTGTTCAGGAAGTTTCCTTCAAGCAGATGCAGTGACTCTTGTTTTTGCATATTTCGTTTTTTGATCAGTTTATTTATTTTCAAAATCAGCAAAGTACCTGTACAAATGAATAATATCAGTGTTGCCATGTACAGGCATTTAGTAACCCTGGATAAGGAACAACTAAAAGCAGAGGGAGAGGTTTTTATCACAACTTTTGCTCTCATGCCGTATTCTGCTAATATTTAACTTCTGCTTATTGTTTTAGATCTACTCATCTCTACCACACCCACCCAAAACATGTATCCACAGGCACACTCCCATTAGGACTGATGGGCTAAAAACAAGTGATTTTTTTTGCTTTGCTACTATTTTGGCATACATGTCACTAACATTTTCCCAGTCGATCAGTTGTAAGGGAGACTCAGTAAGTCTGGAGTCCCCTCAGATACTAGATACTCTCTGTAGTCTATTGCCTCTTGTTCACCCAGGCTTTAACAAACTAAAACAGAGCTCTTGTCAATGTATTTCTGGAAAACTTTGTATTTTATATTGTAGTATTCAGAGATATATTTGGATTATGTTGCTGTTTAACTCTTTAGTAATATTAACATTACTCTTTTACCAGAAATATATTAATGTCTCATTTTTAGATGCAACTGGGCTTTTTGCTCATTTTAACTTTGAATGTAAAACATTCATGAATTAAATGAATAAAGCAGCGAATCCTAGAATAGGTAGACTTGTGTAGGTTTGCATTTGCATGTATCTTTATTGACCCCCTAAAATGTGAAAAATTGCTATTATATATTTTCATTCTAAAAACAGATTATAGGTTTTCAAGAACATGTACCAAAAAGATAGAAATTTGTCTTGATTTGGGTCCCAGAAAATATGCAGATTAAAAATGGAACAAATGGCTCTACCTAATGGGAAGACAGACCCTTCAGAATCCTAGGTCCATTACCAATCATGTCTCATATGAAAAGGTACATTTTATTTCCATCACCCCATTTGGGGAAAAAAATGATGCAATCTGTTTTCTTCAAAATACTTCTAGACATCCTGGAACAAAATGTTTTTAGAAAGGGCATTTCCAACCAGAAGGTAGGCATCTGGTTACCTACAGATAAGCATATTTACATTGTTGGCAGGCAAATTAATAGATTGTCCCTGTACATGAGAATACTTCTAATTTCAAATATACATCTTTGAGACTCAATACATTTTAACACACTGACTACATTTCAAAGGTAACAGTTAAATTGTATTGAAAACAAGAACACCTGATTGGTATCTTCACCGGGAACAATAGCATATCAGATTGACAGTTGACTGGCAAAGCGAAATGTATTTATTTAATGTGTTTTTGCCGAGAGTTGAGTAGTATTAGACAGGCCAGAGGTCGTATCTGGAAACGTCATCTAAAGCCAGGAAGAGTCCACAGGCCCAGACAGGCAAATTCTCGAATTCATGATGAGCTGAGAGGGGGAGGCTCAAGCAGCAGAAACTGAGAACTGAGGCTAGGAGCAAGAGGCAAACCTGGGGAGAAAGTCTGGGCAACACGGAATTGGGATCCTCGGCAGCTGGGATGCAGCGGGTGGCAGCAAGGAGGAAGGAAAGCAGAGAAAAAGGCACTTCTGACAGTGACTCAAGTGAGTATAGCTAATAAACTGTACAGATGCAAGCATGTCAAAAAGGCTCCACCTCCTTATTTGTGGACTGTTGAGGATATTCTGTAGGTGATGGGCATTAATTGCAACCCATGCATATGAGCTTCCTGTAATTGGGCTGAAACTATTGATACATTCAGGTCAGAAGAGTGGGACTGAGTATGTGCTGTTCATTTCCTGGTGGGTGCTGCCTTCTCAGATTGGCTCTCATTTCCCATTACTGCTTTGCTCTGACTCACTGATGGCCCGCCACATGTCATTAGGCGGCTCAGCTGCCGCTCTCATTTCTCCCAAAGGTATAGGGAGGTTTGCCTCTTGGCTTTTATACTTTTTTTTTTTTTCTGGAGAGCTAGAGGAAGTGGCATTTTGATAGTTTTGTTTGTTGAGTTGAATACTTGTAGTGTCTTACAGTTTCAATTTTCCTTTCTCATAGGTATTTGATCCTGATGACCTTTATTCAGGGGTCAATTTCTCCAAGGTTCTGAGTACTCTTTTAGCTGTCAACAAAGCAACAGAAGGTAAGCCAGGCTTGTGATTCAAGTGTTCTGGGTGACATTTTTGGGTCCATGTGTTTCTGATTAACCTAGGAGCCAACTCTGGTCAGAATTGTTCTCCTGATGCAAATTTTCCCCTTGCTTCTCCCAAATACAGCCCCAACAAATGTCAAATGCTTGAATTTTTTCATGGCTTAGGATTTAAAACATACCTATCATAGATCTTAATATAATGATAAGAACCAAGACACTATTTCATTCAAGGCTCTTGAATAGCCAACTGAGTTTAACAAAACAGGAAAGAAAAAGCAAGACCAGTTCCCTTTTTCATGGAGTTTACAAAATACAGCCGTCACTTCCCTTTCCCTATTAGAAACAGATTTTTCTCATTGTTTTCCGTGTGCCTTTGTCCGCTTAAAGGAACCCCTCAGTAGCCTTGCACCAAAAATGAAATCCTGGGTTCATAGGGAGTGAAAATAGTATCTTTTATTTAAATGTTTAACACTCACCACACTAGAGCTATTAAATATAAGTGCTAGTAAATATGAAGAAAATGATGATACACTTAGACTGTAACTTCACTCCTTCTGTGATATTTTACCAACAGCTGGGTAGTAATAATCATACTTAAAATTCTTTGAGCTCTTGCCCTGGATCTAGGCTGTCATAAGAGCCACAGGTGATCTCATTCAGTCTTTGAAACAACACTGGGGGTAGGTATTAATATTATTAAGTCCATATTACAGATAAGGAAAGTCAGGCCTGCGGTTGCCCAACTAGAAAGTTAGTGGCTGAGTTGGGATTCAGACCCACATCTAACTCACTGCAGAGCCCTTACGCCCAAGCACGAGGCTTGTTGCTCAAACTGTTGGAGAGTCAAGAGGCTGTGTGCCCAGCACCCCCAGGTGCTACAAAAAATGTCAAAGCTATGGTCCCTGCCTTTGAGAAAAGTACTGTCTATTTAAGGAGTCTCAACTTACTCACATGAAACAATTAGAGGACAAGAGCAGACAATATAATCAAGTGCCAAATAGGTTGGAACATCTAGGAAGCTATCAAGTAATTATAGTTTTAGTCAAAAGAGCTGTATATAATAGCAATACATGTAAAAATACTTTTCCAAAGTTGTTCTTTTGCTATTTGGAAAAAGAAAATGCTTTTGAGCTATTGCAAGGCATATAGCTGAAAGTACAGCTAATTCAAGTAACTATATTTAACACACATGACAACTATCCAGTTCTAGTCAGGGAGGATCGTGTAATTCTAACATTATTCCACACAAATTATACGTTCCTTTGCCAAACTCTCCTAGCAAGTTTTACAGTCTCTTCCCTTGCCACAGATATTTATAAAATACAAGGAGGTGAAAGTTAAAACCCACAGCATCAAGGAAATTACTTGGATACTGAGCTTGTCGCCTAGGGAATGTTTGGGCTTTAGACTTTTGCAGTTTATATCTTTTAAAAATAAATGGAGAGGAAAAGAACCCTTATTTAAATTTGTCAAAAAGCCAGCTCCTCTCTTTTGTATACTCTCAACAAACTGAAAACATCCAGCTCAGCTCTGGCCTGGTCAAATTTCACAAGGTTTCAAGGAAGAGAAGACTCTTGAATCTGATTGTTAAAAAAAATTATTCTAGTGTCAAGACTGCATCTTTCCCAAACACATCTCTCTCCCTCTCATTCTCCACCCCACCCCACGCACATCAGGGAGATTTTACATTATATATGCCACACATATTGTTACGTGTAAGAAATGAGCCACTGAGTTATGGGCCAAAAAACAAAGAGAGAAATTTGAAATATTTCAAAGTAATAAGAGCCACAAACAGCTGTTTGGTACCCAATATAGTTCTGCCTTGGATAACAGGGCATACTGTTGCAACTGGTTCAGGAGGGAAGAGTTGAAGGGAAATGGGTTAAGAGAAAATGTGGTTCTGTCGCTGTTTTTCATTCTACTGGAGCACGATGGCCAGTAAGGTTAAGAACAGGAAGTTGGCCAACAAAAAGGGAAGGGGGACTGAAATACACTTGGCATGTTCATAATGATAACAGCTAGAATTATAGCCAGGATGTGTCTGATAATATCCCGTGAAAAATAATGTTATGTGGTACATGTTTTTCTGACCTGAGTGGTTCCTTTAACATGCCTTTTCTTCTTTTCACAGATCAGCTATCAGAAAGACCATGTGGACGTTCCTCTTCTCTTACTGCTGCTAATACTTCTCAGACAAACCCACAGGGAGCAGTTTCTAGCACAGCTTCAGGGCTGCAAAGGCAGTCAAAGACAGTGGTAAGTATAGTCCCCAATTCTCCGTCTGTTTTAAAATCCATAAAATTAGATTGATATCCTAGTTGCATCTCCATATGTGGTGAGACAGCCATCCGGTTTGTTTTGGGCATCACTGAGAAAACTAATTATAAACTGAGCACCAATTCAGGCTGGCCCGAAGGAACAAATCAAAGGCATGTGGTGGGGCAAAAATCCTGATTGAAGCTCAAGCTCTGCCCCTTATGAGAATTAGGCATGTCATTTAACTGAGAATACTATGCAAATAGAAGTTATTATGGCTACTTTCTGATGCCAGTTATTTTCCCTATCCTTTGTTTTATTAGTACTAAACAGTTCCTGACACATAATAGGCAATCAATAAATATTGATTGGTATCCTCATTATTGTCATTTTTATTTTTCTTTTTCCATTCCTAATGAGGAAGACCTGATTTTAAATATCAGCCTATGATGAACTATATTGGGATCTCCCGGTTGCCTTTGCACTTGGTCTTATTGGAAACTTTTTTGGGGTAGGAAATGCCTCATCTTCTGCTTTTGGGTGAAACCTTTATTTCTTGTCAAAAGCCACCCACTTGCAGTATCATGACCTATTACTTCCAAAGCACTTGAATATGTGGTTCTTAACCTCTTCGAGATCACAGATCCCTTTGAAAGGCTGATGAACACTATGGCTCTACACCCCTGGTACCCTCTCAAATTGTACACAAAAGCCCATGTGTATGAACTCATTTGGACAAAGATCTGTTGTGCTTATCAGATTCTCAAAGGGGTCTGTGACCCTCAAAAAGCAAGTCCGGTTTATACATGACACATGAAGAATTCCTGACTTAATATACCCATGTAATAAAACTGCACTTGTACCCACTAAATGTATAAAAATAAAAAAATGGAAAAAAGAATTTCTGATTTAGGCAACTATGGGGTATTTGATCTTTGCACATAAATTAGTCTTAGCCAAATTAAGATATCTTTTGTAATTAGGAGGTGGGAGGCAGATTTTATGGAGGGTAGGTTAGTACATCTTGGTCATAGAATTATGTGGACTGTTTGTGTGTTTAGTAGAGGCAGGGTGGAATAGCTTATCTCTCTGCTTTGTTACCTGGCTCAGTTAAATAGATATCTTTAGATAATGGGGAGGGGTGTGGAGAGAAAAATGAAAGCTATGACCACTTCAAAATACACATTCTCCCAAATGCAAAAGTTTACGTACTGTTTTGAGGGATTTACTAATCCCTCTGAGACCCATTCATCGACTCCTAAGTTGAAAACTCAGGACTGAGATGGATCTGGGGTTTTATCTTGGCTTACCCCACTTTATTTGCCTAAACCCATACCATTTCTACCCCTGCCTCATTTAGATGAGTGCTTAATCTGGTGTGGCTTTTGTTTCTCTAGGAGATGACGGAAAATGGAAGTCATCAGTTGATAGTAAAAGCAAGATTCAACTTTAAGCAGACTAATGAGGATGAACTGTCAGTTTGTAAGGGGGACATCATTTACGTCACTCGAGTTGAAGAAGGAGGCTGGTGGGAAGGCACATTAAATGGGAGAACAGGCTGGTTCCCTAGTAATTACGTCCGCGAAATTAAATCCAGTGGTAAGTGAAGTTTTTAAAAGCCTTTTCGATTGCGACTCTTGTACTTTCTTGGTATTCTTACTGAAAATTGTGTAGTTCTAATTGGTTAGCAGAAACTGTTTATACTTGTATGTGTATGCCAAAAATAAGACTAGAACAGAACTGGGAAAAATCTGTGATTACATATTTTGAAACAAAGTTGTATTTAGATTACATTAAGGCAGCAGAAAAATAAAAAAAGCAAAGGAATTCAAAGCTCAGACAACTGGTCCACCTTAACTGTATCCCTTTATGTCTACTAATTCTAGCCCATGTAATATAGTACATAGTCCTCACCACTCTAAAACTTATCTTGGCAGAATGCAATAATAAGAGAGGCCATGTGCTAACTTCCTTTTTTTAGCCCTAAGCCCTGTAAGCAGACCTAAGACTAAATGCCTCAGACATGAGAGATAATAATGATAGGGCTACAGGAAGCTGTCTGGCCACTTTGATTGTGAACAAGATTGCCAGAAACTCACTGCATACTGCTAGCTGTTTAACTTTTTTCGTAACAATAGTCAGAGAATAAAATTGAATTGCTCTTCAGTAGTGTCCTCTCTTTCTTTCCTTCCCTCCTTCCTTCCTTCCTTCCTTCCTTCCTTCCTTCCTTCCTTCCTTCCTTCCTTC